TCTAATGTCACTAGCACTACCCTTATTATTTAAATCTAATCTTCATATTCATGAATTCATGTCTATTTTGAAAAAAAGATTTGGCACTTTCCTGTTTTGAGGGGCTACAGTAATTACTAATTTAATAAGGAAGATTCATTATTATCGATGGTTTCCTTCCAACTTCTCGATATTTTTTATTATTCGATATATAGATATTAATAAAATTGAAACTTATCAGCTAACAACTACGATAAAAAAATATTGGTCAAAGTATCAACAAACAAAAAAAGTTATATCAAAATGAAACTGTTCTTAAATAACCTAACTAACCAAACTTGCTGTAACATTTCAAAATTCCGTTTGATAGACTATTTCCTCATATGTCTTTTCTGTTATCAAACGGAATTTTGAAACGGTAACTTAGCCTACAGCAAGTTTGGTTAGTTAGGTTAGTTTAGAATATTTTCATTTCTTAATCCAATATACAGCCTATTATTTTTTCCTAAACAAGATTAGTTCTTAATCCTATTCTCTAATACGAGCCATAACTCAATAACTCGGTAATTGAACCAAGTATAACCTAGACATATTTGCTATGTCTGTTTGTCTGTCGGTCTGTAATTTAAATTTGTTGAAGATTTTAAAACAAATGCAATATGGATCGTAAAGGAAAACAAAAATATCGATATATCGAAAAGAAATCATTGATAATAATTAATGTTCCCGTTAACAGGAAAGAACTAAAGATTTAAAAAAAGCTTCCTAGTTTACTTAGTAATTAGTGAGTCCTATGAATGCAATCAGTCTATCTGAAATATGATTACCTAGATTAGTTTGAACCGCTACAGTAGTTGTACATCAAACCCTGATAAGAGCCCAAGCACGCATTGTGATGCTCTATTGTTTGTTGCACTGATTGTACACAGCAGCAGGTTGGTGTAATCGGTCACAAGCTGATTACAAGTTTCAATAGACCACATTACTAGAAACTTGTAATGTATTATATTAGGCACTCCTCTAAATTCTGTGCTATGTTTCAAACAAAATCCAACTTCGTCAATAACACAGTTGGAGTATTAAGAGCATCAAACATTATTTGAAACAGTTAAGAGAACTCATAGTGGTTGGAGCGCGAAACCTCTGTTGGCATATTGTTGCTTGGGTCCAAAAATATTATCCTAGGATACCTTACGTAGACTATGAAAACCTGGCTGGGTGAAACCAATGCCACACTAAAAAAAACACAACTAAAAAAGGTTTTTTAGTGTTAACTTGTTGAAACTCGATATAGGAGAAAATAGTTCCAAATTCCAATCAAATACTCGTTATTTAACTTGGCTCTCTCCTACCAAAACTTAATCCCCAAAGTAATCAGCTGTTTAAATTTCAACAAAATGTCAAAACAACGTTTATGCAAGTATGGGCTACAGACTTTTAATAGTCAGGTAATAAACGAGCGACCTTTCATCAACTCTAAAATACTGTAAATGAATGTCTTGAGGATTGCTAGGTTAAAATTTCCATCATAATAAATTGAAATTCCACTGAAACTTAAATAATAAAAGCCAAAATTAGTTGTAAGTAAAACTTGAGTTTCCTTTATATTGCTTATACAATCAAAATAAACAACACCGAGCCATGGGTCGGTCCCCAGGTACTCTATACTATACTATAATATGAGTAACGTTAGCGCACAATGATTTTAAAACCGGCTCCTATGATTTCCTCCAAATTGTAATGGAATATCTTGGTTTTAGGCTAAAAAAATAACCATGCTAGGCTCTGTTTTGGGAAAATTCGTTTGTCGTTAAAAACTTAAAATGAAATCTAATATTTTTATGTAGTCTTAAGGACTGTCAAGCAGCCATGACAGTTTTACGAAGATGTAACTAAATGAATTGTAACATCTGCTTGTAACAAATCATCTACTGTACAGTAGCAAATTGCTAAATACGGTTCAGAATAAAAGGCCATTCCTATCCTATGAATACTATTAATTGATCATTGATTATTTAATACACTTGGGGTGTATGATGGGATAATTATGACTGCTAAAAATTGTTAAGTCTTTTACGCAAAACTACAAGACGCCTGAATGGGCACGTTTTCCACGATCACATAATAAATATGTGATCGTAATTATATTATATTTTTAACCTCTTTAACAAATTAAACGCCTTGAGCAATGCTTGGTCCCCTGGTACTTATCCTTGTACGGATGAGTTGAAGGCAATATTTTCCGTATAATTCATGGAGAAGGCTTCTTGACGCTTACTATTGTTTAAGTTGCGTGTGTACTTAATAAGTTGTTCTAGACCCAGACGCCATTTCAAGAATCAAGAATTTGTATTCACCACAGGCTTCGTACAATTCATACATTGGATGAACGTCATTAAAATCTAGTGGAAACCTTACAATTTAATCCAGTTGATAGTTATTGTATGTTCCAGTAATAGTAGAGAGACAGCTGAGACCAGCAGGCAGCAACTGGTTGTGTGCCAACTGGATCCCTCTGGGTGTCCAGGTCAATATGTGTAGTCTTCTGCTTCGTGTTCCTCAGATTACCTTCTCTCAAAGTTTCACACAATGTTGTATGTTCCAGTGAGAGAAGAAAGACAGCTGAGACCTGCAGACAGCAACTGGTTGTGTGCAAACTGGATCCTTCTGGGTGTCCAGGCCAACGTGTGTAGTCTTCTGCTTCGTGATCATCAGATTACCTTCTCTCAAAGTTTTTACATATGTTGTATGTTCCAGTGAGAGTAGAAAGACAGCTGAGACCAGCAGGCAGCAACTGGTTGCGTGCCAACTGGATCCCTCTAAGTGTCCAGGCCAACATGTGTAGAGTTTTCTGCTTCGCGTTCCTCAGATTACCTTCTTTCAAAGTTTCACACAATGTTGTATGTTCCAGTGAGAGTAGAAAGACAGCTGAGACCAGCAGGCAGCAACTGGTTGTGTGCCAACTGGATCCCTCTGGGTGTCCAGGCCAACATGTGTCGAATCTTCTGCTTCGTGTTCCTCAACAGAGTTCCTTCAACCTCAGGATCGTCCTACCAAGGCTGCGTTGATGGATCTTGCAACTGTGAATGATAACGGCCATCGTTCTACCCACCGTGAAAAACGTCTGCAATATTCGACAATTTTGAGAACCGAGCAGTCCACTCTCACAAACACTGAGTCTGATACCCAAAGAAATCTTGTTTATTTGGCTTGGCTCTCAGTTGTGTACCAAGAAAACTCTAACATTGACCCTCCAGATGATTGTTTATTATCAAAATTACTTTCATTGAATTCCAATCCACACCATACTTCAAGCACATACATGGTATTTTGTTCTTGAAGTAAATTTAGCATTATGTATTTTTTTCAAATACTTTAATCAAAATAATGGTGTATCAAACATTGTTACAAAATTTTTATAGCTTACAATAAGAAGTTCATCGACGTATACTAACAATGGCGGACGGAAACAAACGTTTAAATTATTATTTATGCTATGGTTATAATAACGTAAAATAACTCAAAGCTTTTAAAAATTACCGAACTAATGGCTTATAAAATTCCTTACACCATATATAGTGCATACCAAGGGACCAACTTAACTACTACATCAGTAAACGCTAATGAAAAAAGAAGCTCATTCTTCTTTGAAAAACACAAATTTTTATGTTTAGTATTTGATGTTAATTAAAAATGTTTTGTACTATTTAATCAATTGTAATGAATGGATATTTCCTTTTCTCATTTTCTGTTTTGTTTGCAATTGTTTTTGTTACAATAAAATACATAATTTAATTGGTTGCAATTATTTCACCACGATGAGCCAACCCGTAAGTCTAAGAATCTTGAAACGTGCCACCGACTTTGAACAGAGCAAGTATAAACATAACGGTCTATTTGAAGGCCTTGAATTCTCAGCAGTGGTCTAGGGCTAATAGATATCTCTAGTATGTATATATATATATATATATATATATATATACATATATATATATATATATATATATATCAATGTATATCTCTAGCCCTGGCAGTGGTCTACAGGGATGTCTGTCGCACATCTGCCTCACTTGTTTCGTGGTCTGTGGATATGATGATTAGTAACGTCATATGAAAAATGTAGACCTCGGTCCGTGGAAATAACCACAGCATCGCATGTATGTGACGATCGGTAGCGAACGTGCTGAGGTTTAATAAACGAGCACGTAATATGTTGGGTTTAATCTATGATACTCTGTACTTGGAATTATTTGGTTTGGTAAAATCACCCTTCAATAACTGTTTTCATAATATTTTCTTAGTTGAAAATCATATGTGATTTGTTTATTTTAGACTCGATCAAATACGGATTCTTTTTTTAACATCTTATTTAATTTACAATCTGTTTAACAAAAATAGAACAATAAGCAAATATGATAAAATTTAAATACAGTAGTTAGTCTTTATCCAGCAATAAAGCTAACACACAAACTTTGCATATTGGTACAAAGTTTAAAGTCCATAAATTTCTAAACACAGTTAAACTTAAAGCAAGGTAGTTAGTATGGTACTCTAATTTCTTTAAGTATTTGGCACTTAACCTTCAAATTTCTTCTTTGACCGTTGGGGTTCGACAGCCCCTGTGAATCACTTCGTTAACCATGGTGCCTGGAGAAAGTGCCTTAGAACCTTAGATTGGAATCTTTGGATGACGTTCAGATTTTATTCACTGGATGTTACCCACAGTTGGATACCATACGTCCACACTGGTTTTAGAATAGTTTTGTATAAAAGTAATTTATTTTCTGTTGTTAATTTTGAATTTTGATTTAATAGCCAAGAATTATTAAAGATAGCGAACGTGTTTTAGTTTTAATCTATGATACTACAGTACTCTATGCTTGGAATAATTTGGTCTGGTGAAATCTCCCTTTAACAACTGTTTTAATATTTTCTCCTAACACTAAAAAAAATAGTTAAACATCATATGGGATTTGTTTATTTTAGACTCGATACAAATACAAATTTTGAAGATTCAAAATGTGTTATCAATTTCGGATTTTAAATTGTTCCAAAAGTGTTTTTACATGAACACACAATGACAACAGGAAGTAAATTGAATGCAAATTGTTTGAAAATATTTGTGAAAATTCTGTGAGATTTTAAGTGAGGTATTGTTTTGTTGAGGTTATGTTTCTAAAAACAAACTGCAAGATTTAAGTTTTTGGTGAGTAAGGAATATAATATAGATAAATTATCTTACGTGTAGACCATAGATAAATATATGTTCTGTTTTGAGAATAGAGTCTCTGTGTATTCAAACCGTATAGAACTATTCAACCATTGCATATAATTTGAAATTGCCTAAGAGGAATGAAATGCATGGCTGACTTTGAATGTACAGTTGGTTCCATAATTAGCCTGTACTAAATACAATCTAATATTGTCAGCTTAGTATGATTGATAAAGATATAATGGAATTTGTTTTTAATCAATTATTTTCAGTACCCGAGTTCTTATTTGGTGTTTACTTGCCTACCAAATTTATCTTTGTATACAGGTACTTTGCAATGTTAATTTGTTTTCAAACTTTATTGTGGATGGCTATTGATAGGTGTGAATGAAGACTAGCTTAGTTCAGTTTTAATCTTTGTCCGCAGCATGGTAACCTGATTATTTAGTCCTTGACGAGGTGAACTTCCCCTCTGGGTACCATCCCTCTGGGATGTTGGTAGTTAGTTTTAGACTAGTACGGCATAGGTTACAAGCCGTACTTACGCCCCAGTAAGTTTGCACTACTTTAACTTTAAAGTAGTGCAAATTTACTGGGGCTAAATATAGTATAGATATACGTGGAAATGGTACTGTTAATTAATTAATTTCTCTCTTGTAGTCTGGAATGGCAACGTTCCAAAATCGGGGAAGAAATCCTTGCACCAGCTACAAAAGAGAAGGTAGAACTAAGCAAAACGTTTTTGAATGTTTGCCTTCATCTGGTGGTAAGCTTTTACATTACAACCTACCACAGTATTTGTGCTATATTATACATAATAATAAGAAAAACAACTGTATGATTAATCTACTTAAACATTTAAAATATACCACTTACATCAACAGCTCGTCATCATAGACTCACAGATCTTGTGGTTGTCTGAGGATAAAGAACTATTTTTATTAAGGTACATGGGAAAGCCAAATAGTATCTCTTTATATGACACTTCAGTGTACATGAAGATAACGCTACACTAACGAAGTAAACCATATTAAATGTATTAAGGTATATAAAAAAAGGCTACAACTTAAGTGCCACAAGCAACTATTATCCTTTACTTATTCCTTCATTAATTGAGAAAATATCACTTCACACACATTAATTCAAGTTTATTTTCATCAAGCTATTTTAGTCTTTCAAATGGTACATAAAGTGGCTTGACGTCCAAAATCCTTAACACATTAGCTATGCTGAAAGTTCTACATGTTTAAAGGTGTATTTGGCCCCTGCAAACTTGTTTATCATATTTGTCATTGGAACACCATCAAAACTAGGATATTCCTTATTATTTTCAGTGGAAGAAATCTCCAACACAACGGCAGGTAAATAGTACGTGCTTTTACTATATCTGTAAATATGTTCGTTTTTCGTGTCACCAAAAGTAGTTTTACGAAAACTACTGGACCAATTTTTAGAACGTTCTCGTTTGATGGTGAAGACACACTGATGTGTTTTGAAATTATGGTACCTCTAACTAATAAATTCACCAATAAAACCAATAAACTTCGTTTAATGCTGACGTCGAGGTACTTGAATTAATTTAATTATTACATCTCACTCCATGGCATTAGTTAGAAATAATGAATCAGCTATTTTTTTTTTCAACTGTAATTGTGTCTTTTGACAGATTACCAGGGCGGATGTGAGGGGAAAAAATTCAGAACAGAGGGTAGAGCTAACCAAGATGTCTACGAGTGCTGCCCGCCAACACCATGTAAATATTACCATTATATTGAATTCCAAACTACAAATGTTGTTAATTTACACCTAAGGTGGATCAAAAGTTTACTTACGGTTCAAGCCAAAACTGTTTGGATTCGTCACTGGATTTAAGATGAGGATTGGATGGATGATGAAAACTTTCAATTCCAACTGTCCCCACTCTTATCCTAACCTCTCTTCTCAACCGTTGTACAGTACAATACCAGCATACGAAAAATACGGTCCAGTCATCTTGCTGAGACCACCAAATCCCTGTTTGACATCTAACATTCATTCGACTCAGAATGAATTCTCAACGTATAGTTATTATGCATCCCTAATCAGAATGTCTGTGTTTGTCCATAAATGAACAAAAACGTCCTGAAGAGTTTCAACATAAATTTCATAGTGTGGTAAAGATATAAGAAGAGAGCACAGATTAAGTATTACCCATATATGTTTTAAATTGAGCTAATATCTGCTTATGTTTGTACAAATGTTGAACTTAGTAAGTAGTTTCAGTAAATGACAACGATAAACTTATTTTCATGTTGAGGTTTAGGATAGCTTTTTGATGGTTCAAAATTGGACCAGCTATCCCTGATCATTGGGCTATAAACATGAGACTGGCTAATGAAACAGCTGATCATAGCCAGTAACAAAACATCACAGTCTCACACCATTCTACACTCTTCCTTCCACATAGGCTTAAAATACGCATCGAGACGACGTCCCCATCTCAAATGAGAATTACAGAATAGCCTTGGAACCAAAGCTGGTTTCTCAATGTAATTTGTGGGTTGCCATAAACCAGTTAAAATTCAACCTATTATCAGATACCACGAAGAAATTAATCGTGACACTTTTTTGCCAATCCAGTCCGGGATGACATCCTATTCACAACAAATGATAGGCCTAGTAATAAATTAAGGCGATGATGCAATTTTTACCGATTCAGTTTTCAAATATGGAAAAGCTTGCTGGAATACATCCTTCAAACTATATGGGCTAGGTGAACAGATAAAATTCTTCATAGAAACATGAATGTATCAGTCGATCCTAGGGTATCGTGTACTTTCCCTTGCAGTGGAGCTGAGATGCAGTGTGTGCTACACAGCTGAGAGGGATGGTTGCAACCTCTGGACTTGTGTTCCCTTCGTGTCCTACTCTGTACTCTGTGGACCGACTCTGGCCGATCTGCTGGTCCTGCTGCTCAACCTGCTGCCCATGTCCTTCCTCGCTTGTCTTGGCATCGCCCATCCACGCTGCTGCAAAGGTGAGAGCAAACCTGCTTACAGAATGCTTCGGTTAAGATCCAGAGGGTCGTATGTTCTATACTGAGTATGAACTGCTTTGATGAGTTGAAACTGGACCCAGCTGTTCTTGATCACTGAGATTTTTAATGGTCCTGGAAAAAGAACGATTTTATCTTAGTCAGTAACCAAATTATTTCAATCACCCATTCAAAAATCGTCCTTTATTAATCTCCGCCTTGAAAAACACACTCAGTGGTGCCTTGTATGGTTCTAATCTAAACTAAAAATCCCCACTAGTCTTTGATATTTGATTTAGCATCGTACCAACCGAGTGTGTGGCTATTACTGGTGTGAGGAAAGAACCATAGGTGATGTATTGTAGCTATGTTACTAAACAAGATGAAATATTCTGTTACGAGTGAATTTATGAATTTAGGAACTTCACTTTGAGGTTATTTACCAAGTTATGATGGAAAGTGTGTGCATTACTTGTTCAAACAACATATGGAGCTTAAAATTAAGCTATGTAATTTCTAATTATTATCTCCCTCTTGCCTCATTTTCTCTTTCTTTAGAAAAAGCCAAACCATTCATCAAGAACTGCAACCCAGAGAAGAAGCCTCCGCGGTGTGTTCCAGTCAACAGGTGTGGAGACAGGCGAGAGGTGAAGAGAACATCTTACCCTAAACCTGAGGCTGGCGACACAAGCTCCTGTGTGAGTTTTATGGTTGTAAACCATAATACGTAATTTTGAGTTGCTAAAATCTAGATATTTTAATAAAATGGTGTGTAGAGTGATCTATAACAATGACCACAGTATTTATAGCTGGATAAAATAAAAGGTCACTTTTGCGGCCCTGAGAATGCCAGTAGCTATTTGTTGGTTCGAAACTAGACCGAATTGTCCTTGATCATTGCTAATATACTGTATTGTTTGCTATGTCAAAAGAAAGCTCTGTAGACTCATGTTTTACCCCCATTTTGCCCTCAATGTCTGACGACAGCCAAAAGTTAATTTTAATAAATAAATAACAGATGATTTATGTTGAGATAAAACTATGACCCATTCCATTACTGTATGAACAATTGAACTTAACTGTAGTTTTAGCGAATTTCCCATACAGGAAATTCCAGACGTATATCAACTACTGCCGTAGTACTCATGGTAAGACCTGGACCCGGGACCGATTTACTTTTTCGTTTTGAGGACCCTATAGGCCAAAACGCCATCCGTTCAGATTCACATATTATATGTGTCCGTTAGCTTAGCACGATAACTCGAGCAAAAATTATCCGATTTTAACATTTACGTAACACACGTGTGCAAGTGGAATATTGTACAATATGTAGCCTAACCTTTTTTGATGCGTGTTTCATATTGGTTGAGTTTGAGTCCGTTGATGGTGACCAACTGTTTCTTTGAGGAGATAGATCACAAGGCTACATTTCGAACGATTGAATAACAAGAAAAAAATTTTAAAAATAAAACTAACTGTACATAAAAAATACAGGAAACTACACTGACTGTGTTCAGCAGATCTCTAAGGACTTTAGATCTTCACGAGTGTAAGTTTAATGTAGGATTGAAGACATTCGCACACCTAAGAGTTGCGAGGTTATAGACGGAGTTGCATATCAGTATCAGATTCAATTATTTGTCGAGTATCTCTCGTCAACTTCCGACATTGCATCTGTCACGCTTATTTCTCGCTTATCACAGACATTTCTCTCCTGCTTTGAATATCAAATATTTGCAGATGGTTTGGATTTCTTTGCGGTGTACTCTGTGCAGTTTTAAATTTGTTTACGAAATTGAACTTTTGATTAATACTTTGTTCGGTAAAAGATACATTGTTCAACAACTTCTATACCAAAAATATTTTACTTAAATTTTTTTGTTCAGTGTACCTATGTCCTGAATAAATTATTTTTAATATTACATTACATCAATAGTTGTTATTTTGTATCACTAATCTGAAATCGTGTGTAGTGGTAAAAGCTTGGAACTTTGGTCCCAAAGACCAGGGTTCTAATCTTGCCAAACACCACGGGGTAACTAACTAAAATGTATTTTGACGTAGTGAAAGCCCATTGCGCTAATAGGGCAGTGTGGTGGTTCTTCACTCTAAGTTATTTAGCCATCGTCACCAGCTAAAAGCTGTGACAACATTTTTATTGAAGTTGCAAACCATTTGATAGCTGCGGAGTTTCTATGGACTATATTGAAACATCGTGACTATGAATATAATATATTCATAGTGTGTTTTTATGTGTTTATAATATATAAGGTTTTATATCTATACTATTATATAAAAATCTAATGGTGTCTGTCTGTATGTGTATTACTAATAGGTGCAAAAACTACAGAACCAACTGGGCTTAAATTATACAAAAATATAGCTATCATACCAAGGACCATTATAGGACTATTCACATTTCAATACTGACCTAAGCTTTGCCCCTTTGGCTTTAAGAGTTCTGAGGTGAACAATTTAAAAGTAAATATTGATTTGTCTCCATGGCTGTGATGAGAACACTTAACAAGGTTTGTTTACATTTGTTTTGACATTTGTAAACAAGAAGAACTGCTAAACTGCATATTTCAAAATATCAGACAGCTGATACAAAGAAATTAAATATAATATTTTCCATAACTATGAGTTAGGTTTATTTTAATCTAACCTATGCTTTTATCATGGATTATTTATTCTAAAACTATGTCAATGATTATAGAAAAAAAGATTCTATAACCGTTGCTGTATCAACTCCGGCTCTGCTTTGGAATGAACATAGCTTTCAATTCACATTTACTTTATTTGATACATTTATTATTTGTGTTTTGCCACACAAATGATTAAATTAAACCAAGGAAAATATCATAAAACTAAGCAGTACACAGTGTTCTTTTGTTTCTAAAATCAATGAAATATCTGTTACTATGTTTACTTAATGGTAAGTGTGAAAATGTAAAGGCAATGGACGATGGAACTGATTAAAAGAACGAGTTTGTATATTAAGTTGTTTGTTGATATTTTTGTAGAGTAGAATCAGAGATGCAATGAAACATATACTGTATTTGCTATTACATTTTTTAGTCCTTGATGCTTTGATAATCATAATAGTTTTGTCTGTTGTCTTTAATGCTAAATTATTAGTTTATTTTTTATAGTACCTATAGATATAGTTTCTTTAATATTTCAAAAAACTGTATATTTCTAAAGTTTATAACAGCTGACTTAGTTTTGCTAATGATTTATTGTGAGTGAAGAAACTGAAGATGGAAGGATTTGTGATTTAATATAAAGAAGAGTGAAAATTTAAAAAAAAGTTTTTCTCATATCAGCCTACACAAGATTTAAAATTAATCAAAACCAAAATGGTGGTATCCACTACTTACCAGATTTAAAAGTCATATAACTTAAACGTTTCTATTAAGGCTATACAAGTTGAATTTTGTTTCTAAAAGCGGCGGATGTGTAACTATTATATATGCAACAGATGTAAAGATAAAAATGTTTCTATTTTGTGTCCTCTTCCCGTTGCAAAGCACGGGTACAACAGCTAGTATAATATATATTAATATATATATATAATATATAATAATATTAATATATTATATATAAAGGCCAACAGTAACGTTCGAAGACTAGTGGTATAAATAAGTCGTGGACAAGTCGTGCACTGTTTAGGATATTGGATACTACGAATAGCTTTCTTCCATATGAAAGCTTCGCAGCACAAAAGGATTTCATACTTAGCTGGGTTTTCCTAGGCGCGGATTCGGCGAGCGGAGAGAGGAACGCGGAGAGCGGAATTGAAATTAACATGGCATTCCGCTCCGCTTCTAGGAAAACAGTAACATTAAATTGCCTAAGACAAGTGGAGTCCGCTCTCCGCGTTCCTCTCTCCGCTCGCCGACTCCGCGCCTAGGAAAACGAAAAAGCTGAAGTCTCTTAGACAAGATATTTTCCTCTTTGTAAGGGATCTCCATCAACAAAAACACAATTACATTTAGATTTTGCTAATTGTTATGGCAGAACGATGACATCTACGCTTGGATGCACGGAGAGTACGAAGCTCTGGCCCAGGAGTTGGCTGAGATCAAGAGATTGACGACGGAAGACAACGACACTGACAACAGAGATTTGCTGCAGGCTAGGAACTACGTGCTGGACAGACTGGCGGAGATGCTGGCAATGCGAGAGGAGATAGAGAGGTTGGTGGCTATTAGTGTCATTGTTATGATACTATAATCCCTAATCTTAATATATAAAAGAATGTTGTGTTAGTTACAGCGTTTATAACTAGAAAACTACTGAACCAATTGGCATGAAAATTTACAGGGATATTCCTTAGGTACTATAATAACATAATAGCCTGTTTCCGTTTCAAAAACCCTTAAGGGACGCGTCCTATGGCCCTTTGCAGTTACCATGTTAATCTTATGCTAACCTGAAGGCAAGTGAGCGCAGCGAACGAGCTCCAACCTAAAGGTGAGTGAGCGTAGCGAACGAACTTCAACCAGGACGTGATTGAGCCATGCGAACGAGCTCATCTTGAAAATGAACGAGCATTTGACATAAAATCACATAAGGACAGGACGACGTCTGTCGGGCCAGCTAGTAGTGTTAAATATTCAATGTTAGTATATACTGACTGACTTCAGGGTAAACATGTATCAGTTTGTCAGTGATTCACAAGCTACAACCGCTATACCTAGTATGTACACGGATGGTCTGATTCACCCTTAGCCGACTGGTGATATTGTCTCACATGAGCTGATATCGTTATCTCCTGATACTTACTGTGCCATCAGAGAATTGGTCCACCTACTAAAAATTATTATACATACTCACGATCAATATCAGTTGGCCTGGTAACCGGTCTACTCCCTACTCAAATGTCAATTATATTGATCTTAAATGTCTTCACTTCTTAAATCTCTTCGCTTCTATATTAGTTTTTGTAATTTGCATAGTATTTTGGTTGTCACACATATTTTTCTAATTTAAAATCTGTTGTATGTTTCCAGAAAGGAGAAAAAGAAGCAGAGTCGATGATTTTGGATATTGCATATCTACGGCAAAAATTAACTCTCAACATACTCTTCATTAATTTTTATCTTTTGTGAAATTATAGTCTGTATAAAATTATGTTTGTAAAAGCTGTTTCGTGGTTGGCATGTATTGAAATACAGCCCTTGAGTAAACCTTCGAAGATAAGGAATGATTGTATCACGAAGTAAACGGTTAAGATGGAGATCTGTGTAGCTTCATTAATGACTAAGATCAGCCAATGCTAAAGGAAATTTTTATAAAAAGTCCTGTGATGAAGGACAACAACTGAGTCCATTTAACCATTGACTTTTGGATACTGATAGTCAAAGATTTAACCATCGACTTTTGGAATACTGAAGTACACGTCTAAACCATATGGACCAGCTGTCGCCAATTTTTTTAATTAAAAAGAACATAGTTGTGTAGGCCAGTCACAGATTGCACCAGTGTCTGAAATTCTATGTTCTACCTTATTTATTGTTTGTTGCTACCAAGTTAATGCGTTATAACAGCTGCTATAGCTCACAGTAAGTTATTCCATTAAAACGTTGGTGTATTCGACAGAAATCAGTAATTTATATACAAGATATCATTTGATTTTTTACTAAGATGGTATTTTTTGTTTCGATACCACCCGTACACATACTTTTACAGTAGTACGTTTTCACCAAGAAACGCAAAATAAAATTATTCCCCCTAAATCACATACGAAAAATCCATTTAAAATACTTAGAACATGATCAAAGCACAGGGTGTTCCAGAAATGAAGGTTACGGGTTCGAATCTCGAAATGTCCTGATGACAACCTATATCTCATTGTACAGTTTTAGAAAGGTCTTGAGTGACATTTTGGTTAAAATAGAACTCAATTATCTCAATTAGTTTTAAAATGGCGGCTACATTTGTGAATTTTCGCGTATTGACGTAATACCCTGTATTTTCGAAACCGCTAAACATGTTTCGTTCTTACTGAAAATTCGTAATCCTGGTAAACAGATTTACTATGACGTGTCACATGTAATAATTTTCAAACTGATCTTTTTTTTTGTAGTGTTGGTAGTGTAAATAAAAAATCAAATGGCAAAATATTTAAAATAGGATATCATTTTAGGTGTCTTGTTAAGATTAACAACTTTCCAATTTAAACCTAATGTACATTTCTTTTAGTATTTGAGTAATAAACTAACTAAATTTTCCCATATAAAATGCATGTTAATTTCAAAAGCCTAAAACTAAAAAAGATATTGTTTGGTAATGCAGTTACAGTAAAGTACGTACTATTACGGATGGTACACCTCACCCTGTATTTTAACAGTACTAATATTTTCATTTATTCATTTTGTTTAAGATGCATTAAATTTTTTCTTAGCCCTCGTACCATGTATTTGAACGTAAAAAACTGCGAAAGAAACAATAAATTATCGTATTCCGGCTAGAAGAAAAAAGTAATAAGGTTTTAAGAGATATTTTCTTACTTGTTGAAAGTACGTAAACCGCGCTATACTATCAATGTATAGCCTGAATGATATTTCTTACATGAGAGGACGAATTAATAATATGCGATTGCCGAATTACACGGGGATAGAAGATCATTTTAACTTTTACCAGCTAGTAGCAATAATTAGGAGTTGCCTCTGCGTAAAATCTTTTCCGCGCAAAAAAATATAGAAATATTTTTTACCTAGTTAATGAAAAAACTTAAAACTAAAAGCTAAAGCAATGAGTTTTGAAACTTGGTAATCAAGCAGAGTGGGTCATGCTCTTTAGAAAGGAATCTTCAGTCCCGTGCCACAGCATTTCATGTATGTTTTATAAGTTATAATTACATTTAATAATCAGTGTATTGGACAAGAGTTGTATTTTGTTGCAATTTTTTAATTCTTTGTTTAGAGGTGATTGTTATAATGATAGTAATTTAATGGGGAATTGAGGATTCCTTCAATAAAACCCCAAACCGATCTTTTTTATTTTTATTGTAACAATGGTCTCTTCTCAATTGTATTGGTGATTATTATTTTTAACCTTGATTGATTGCAAAACATGTTTTTAAATTTAAATTTCCAAAGTTTTTCGAGTTTTAAATTTAAAGTAGCCTATAGTTACATACGCAAATAACCCTGGCCGATTGTATATTTGCAAAAACTAAAAACAATAGTCGATATGAATTTACCTCTTTTCACTGAATGTTGGATTATTGTATTTTATTATATTTGGTTTTGTATCAGTCATACAAAACTAAAACTAATTAATTATTGCATTTTATATTCGGGATGGTAAACAGTTGTAACAGACAGTATTACGTATTGCACGCTAAACAATATGTGAACCTAATTAAATAAACAAGTAGGTATGCTAGTGATGATTAAACACTCGAACATATAATAAAATCTACAGTTCTGCTGGACCGATTTTATTAATTAATGGGTCATTAGAAAGCTCATCCCTGCAGATTTCCAAATAATTATGAAATATTATTTTTGTTAGTGTTTGTGGTAAAAATAAAAATAAATGTTTTCCATAAGAAATACATAGAAAAGAGGGGTGTTCATTTTTTTTAAAGGCATGTTTTAAGTATTTTCATTGAGTATTTTCAAGAAATGAAAATATTAAAATATTAGAAAATATTAGATTTGTAGGAGATTTTATTCTCTTTCAGATTATCAGCATCCCCTTTTTTGAGTTTTTGGTTTCCTCCCCATTTAAAAGTTATCTGCAAAAATGTAAGCGACCTCCGAATTTATTAGTGGTGGTGAGGAAATGCTGATTTAGGCTAGATATTTTTTTACTTTGTACAACTAAATCTACAATCCTTTGGGCCGATTTGATTAATTAATAGGTAAATGGAAAGCTTAATCCATGTAGATTTGCAAATAATCATGAAAGTTTAATTTTTTTAAGCATTATTAGGGTAGTAAGGGGTTTGCCGGTATGCATAAATTTGATCATATGGAACATGTGTTAATAAAACAGCTGATTATTGTATTGTTGTTTCCTTGTGTTTTCTTGGTTTACATGTTGTAAATAAATCATATATTATGTACTATTTTAGAGACTGTTGTATTTAACCACAACAGGCTCTGTTGCTGTTGCTAGTTATATATACATACGTACATTATAAACAAATAATAAAAAATAGTGTTTCAAACTCCATTTCCACTACTATACTTACTCCTTTTACATCAAATGCAAATAGTTCACAAGCCTATCTAAAGATAGCACTGACAGCGCACCGTGTTCAATCTACCTTACCGACCTAGTTTCAAGTGTCGCCGACAGGAGCTCTAGCGTACAGGACACAGTGAACTGCTCTGCAAGGAGTTCATTCCGGTACGGGTACATCAGCTGGGCTGTAGTGTATAGTGTAGTGGTTGTGTAAAAGTTGCTAGCGCGCGGTTGTTCTCAAGGACGTGGTTGTTATCATCAACAATTAGCCCTTTAACACAACTCTGATAACGCCGTTATCGTAGCCGTAGGATGTAAAACGTGTAAAGTGTGAATATTTGCATCTTGATATTTTTAAATTTAGAAAATTAGGCCTAGTTTGCCTGCAAAGATTACGTGATGGATTTATAGTGTGATTTCTGCTTGTGTGCTTGAAAAGGAATTCTTCAACAGGTAAGATTTTTCTTTTTTAAATTTAAAAACGAATTTTAGGAATAATAAATGTTTATTTAGAATTTTGTTTTATTTATTAGTAAATTATCACGTAGATTGTAAAAGAAAATTATGTGAATGATGTAGTTTTTATGGTTGCTTTTTATTTGGCATACTGGGATATTGCTTGATTTTTTGCTTTTTTTTAACTGGGCTATTCTAATATCGATTGAAACTATGATAGCCTAGTTTAATTTTATAATAGATATATACTATTTAAAAATATCGATTATTAATCAATATTTTCAATTCGATCGATGTAAGCATTGCCCAGTAAAGAAACTGTACCCCTTGATTTTAAATGTTTACCATTTTGATGGATCGTATTTATTAATATTTAGGAATATGTACTACGACTCCGACATGGTATATTGTTTGAGTGTATAGTAAACAGATGACGTCTTAAAATCTTACGCAAATAAATATATAAAAATAATACGATGAATATAAAATGAGAATAAGGTTTAGATAAAAACTGGATCAGGTACTTTAACTTGGTTTCAATTTCATAGGAAAAGAGATACAACTTTGAATTTTATTGGATTTATTAAAAGAAGTATTTTCTTGTTAACGCTAATATTCTATTATATCTATGTTCACTGCCAAATTATTAATTTTTGAGTATTTTTATGAAATACTGAATATCCTGCTGTAGCCATTAGTTAACAACTTTACAAAAAGTATACACTTTTAAAGAGTTTAAAATGAAAATATGCTATAGCATGTTAAATAACTCACCACACTGGACTGGACCAGTTGTAAAGATTTTTTCAATTTATCAGGAGTCGACAAAGTTTTATAAATAATGCCAGTATTCAAGATAAATCATAATTTACATTGTTGTACGTTACTTCACTAAACTAGGGCCTATGTTTTATTTTTAAAGTAATCTCATGTAGTATGTTACAAAATCTACATTGTTATTGTTGTTGTTTATCACGGTGTCCGTTTCAATATTTTTATTCAGATAGAGCATAGAGCATGGTTGAATAAACCTTCTTTTTACAGTAATTAGACTATGCATTATTTTTAATGCTACTACCGAAGTTATCTCACTCATATTCTGATTTGTGATTTTTGTAACGGTTATTTAAAGTAGTGTAGGGTACAAGAAGTTGTTTTATCTTTATTCTTTCATTTTTTTTACACCGGGTGCAACTGCAAATACAAAATTTGCATCTTCTCCAGGCTTACCAAGTAAAAGAACGCTTTTCTAATCATATCCATGAACCAAAGCTCCCGGACAAAATCAACAGTTTCAAGTCAAAGGGTTCCCTTCTCTGGACTCGAAACCAAGGCAAAGTCAATAGTCTTACAATTGACATGATTTTGTCAGGAATTGCTGTGTTTGGGCACTTGTGTCAACCGACAATAGATTGTAACATGTATTGTTGCAAATATATAGCATTTCATACTACTATTATTCGCATTACATAAGTTATTTTATTGTAAATTGAAAGATTATGGATTTTCAAGCAGCTTATCCAGTTTAATCTAACCTCCAGGAGGTAAGGAGGTATTCTTAGACGTCGGTTACGACAGGAGCACACTTGTGGAATACATTGACTTCCAGGTTTATTATAATTCATTATGTTTATCATGTTGTGATTATTATTAGCTGCTACATCTTGACTCCTTAGTAAAGTATACTTCGTTAAACTTTCTTATTGCATTCCTTCATGTTTGAAGAAGGTACAATTGGAAAGGAAAGTGTAAGCGTGCTCATGATAGTTTGATCCACCCAATAAAGACTACAACAAATAACATAGCATTGAATAATCCTTCGGTTTAATTTATATATCCAACTTTACGGAAGTTCCCATACCTTCATAGAATTAAATTATTATATTACTGGTTTTTCAAGACTAGGCCTATCTACAGCTTTAACATTGGGATCAGAAGTCTACTTCTATCTGCAGTCCTAGGTTTTAGCCTCCTTCAAGGTCTAGTTCCCTTTGTATCTTTGTCAGCTCAGCCTCCCGTGGACTCCAGACTCTCTCACACCCACACACGACGGCCCGGTACACCCTAGTGGGCGTAGACCTCCCACTATCCTAGACCCTAGACGTGTTACTGTTTCTTTAATAACATCTGTGATTAAATATTGTAACTTTATTGTTCTTTAGTCTCAACGGAGGTAATTGACATCCTTGACTAAACGTGTTGAGAATTGGTTCCAAAATAATTTTGTTGTAAAAATCGTTCATATAATTTCATTAGCATTTTACATTGTAATTGTTTTACAACAGACTTATGTTGTTAAACAAAGTGTGAACGAGAACACTATTTTTTCAATAATACAATAAAATTTGAAGTTTGATTTCTTTTGTGTTGTAATTAAACTATAACAGAACTTATCCAGTTGTTATTGTAGACCAACGTTATTTTCCACTTTACATGCTCGTCAGAAGTTTACATTAGGCTTCATGGAATTTCTATTCATTTACTTTCTCAAGACAAGTTCAACTGGTGTTTACAACTGAAATTGTTGGCATCGCATCATATTGTGAAATATAAACTCTGTTTCTAAAGTAGTAATGTTTTTCATACTAGAAAAGTTTAGGGTGGGGTAATGTAGGTAGACTAAATGCTAATAAGTTAATTTAAGGTGGATTTTACGAGTACCGTTTGGTTAAATTGCCAAAGGTAAATCTTTTGCTTATAGTTTGAACATTTATTTTGGGTTGAGGCAGTTTTAAAGAAAGTTAAGCGAGAAATATAATGGGAAACAACAAAATGCCTCTTAAACTGGAAGATACAAACTCTAAAATTGAGTTTAGCTGATCGGTGACTGATAAATCTGCAAAAGAGTATGTTTTGAATAGTATAACCCATGCAGCATCACATGATGGTGTAGTATGATTAAACACACTTGTAAAACAATTAGCCTAACGCCATTTCAGTTAAAACAGCTGTTTTGATGACGATCATTGCCCTATTAACTCCGGGGTTATCTGTTCAGTTGCTTTCGTCGATTTATCATCTGGCAACGGGCTATTTCGTTGTTTTCAATCGAAATCTGAAAGCCTTTTGTTTTATTTATTGTTTATAAATCTTCATGAAGTTTAAATTATTGTAACATATATGTATTGCCGTAGAATATATCTCTTCAGCCACTAAAAAAATAACTACGCTCCTGCACACGTTTTGCTTTGCGGTGGCTTAAGTTTGTGTGTTGTTCTTATACTGTAGGTAACATGTATCACGTACCCATTTTCTGGAAATTAATTAAATTTGTGTACATGTTGTAAGGTTGATAAGAGAAATCTCTTAGCCTGAACAATACATTTTTTGACCAATTTCTTGGTATGACGTCACCACGTAAACAACGCCCACCACTAGTGATTGGGGAAGAAGCACGGACTTCGGTTCCTGAAGTCCCAAGTTCGGGCGCACATGAAAAGAGCCCAAAAACTCAGGCAGACGCTTGGAAAGCGCCCGGACCTCCAAGGTCCCTCCCAGGACGGTGCGAAAAGAGCCCGGGCTCTTCCTAGAACGTTCACAACGGGTCTTCAAATGAGAAATAACCAATAACACAGTTGAAACGCATCAATTTATTTACAATATTAAAAGATACACTGTTAAAAGATACATTATTAAAATATAGATTATTAAACTATTTACATTACTCAAAGATATAGTCTGCTTACCTAACCTAACCTAACCCAACCAAACACAACACTATTTCAGAACACGAGTCAGCGTCCTCCTCCTCAGGTACCTGTGGAGACCCTGGCTCTTTCCATACTTAAGATTAGTTAACCTTATTGGGGATTAAAATTTCGGGCTCTTTTCATGTGCTCCGCCAAGTTCATATCCATCCAGTACATTTTATGTAAGTGACAGTGCTACTCTCAATGCCTAGACGAACGTGTAAAACGGTTCTGGGTGTTGGCTAGAGCTTGGGACAAAAGACACAAAATAACCGATTGGCAAAATTTGAGCCCCAGCTCAGAACCGCTCTAACTTCTATCCCAGCCACTACCGGAAGTTTTCACAAGGTTCTCCGACGTCTATTCACCGTCCCAGACTCTGAGATGTTCGTGGCCCGAGGTCCATCAATTACTCTAACTGATGGTCTAGAGGAAGCCGTCCAAGCCGACCAGCGAGTCTTTGTCATTAGCAGACCTCTGTGAAATTGGGCTTCTATGTTACGGACCCACCTCTCACCTCTACTACGGTGAACGGGTTCGTAGCGTTTTGAGCGACGCGATTCTATCGAAATTGACACAACTAGAATATAGTCTTGAATTCTCTAACGTGAATAATACAATTATCAGTTTAGAAACATCAAAATACTACTGCTCTTTATAAGAATCGAATTATTTGTACTTTGAGAGCAATAAACCCTCTCAGCTAGCAATGATTCTCGATATAACTCTTTATTTATTTTAAATATGTTAATAAGACCTAAAAAATAATTTATCCAAAATACAATTATGTACAATTTATGCCTGTGGTTTTGTGACTGATTGTCACTTAACATTCTGTATGTGACAGCTAAAGCATATGTTAAGTGACGATCACAAAACCACAAGGCAGGCATAAATAACCGTACACATTGCAACACTAGTCTGCCTAAATAGTATGAACTGCCAAGTAAATTAATACCTTCATATATGAGTGCAATATGTTTTTAAAATATTTAAATTTTGAAGATGATAGTTTGTCAACATGTTAAGTGATGTGTATACAGTATGATATGAACTAAAATATTAGCTGATGTTTTTTTAGGTGCTATTCATTTTTAGTGAACACGCCTTAACTTTGGGCATCCTTATAAAACGTGTAAAGTACATATAATAAAATTTCTAAGCACCGACTATATAAGTATTTCCATTTTCACCCACTCCAAACAATATTCGTGTCCCGAAATTTTTAATTTTTCATGAAGTTACATCGTTCTACTAAATCCACATATAGCCTACCAAATACTCACGGGGAGTCAAATACTTATTATG